ATAATTAACAATTATATATACAATGTATACAATGGGCTGAATTGTGTAACAAAAATCCATGCGTTACACTACAGCCTCGTTAAACACGGTGTAACTGTAAATGTGTTAACACACATAATAAATATAATCAAAAAACGGGTTAATACCAAAAGTCATAGATGTAATAATACATCGCTAGCAGACTATAATCATGATTGTTTATTATTGAAAGCCGTACTAAATATATCATGTTTGCCAGTTTTTGGTATATAATCTAATTTGCCCAAAATGCAATTGTAAGCTAAATCTAGCGCTTTAATACACCATTGAATATATAGTTTGTGCCGATATTTTTAGTCTCAACAATTTTTGTTACATTATTCAATCCAAAACAAACAAAAATATAAAATTTATAACTATTTTGATTGAAAACTAGGGGAATATAAAAAATAAAACACAACCCATAGGTAACGAACCATAATGGTAATACAATTTTATAGTCAAACAACAAAAATATCTACACACAGTACAGTATGTACTCCTATGTAAATATATTTTGTTTGTGTATTCAGTGTAGAGAAAACAAAGTTGTGAATAATGAACGAGATATTTATCAATTGAATTTCAATAATTTATATCTAACACGGATTTTGAAACAAATTTTTGTGATATATTTCACCATAATTGTCAAATAACTTAGGTATTGCACATATCGCTGATACCCCACATTGTTTTTATCTGGAAATTGCAATAATTATCATGTACTGTTTACAATAGGTTTACACTATTGGGCACATTGTATGGGTAAATAGCATTTAATTTCAATGAAATTCAAATGAAAAATAACGAAAACATGGTTTCAATGGAAAACCAAGGGTTGAGAGAGAGAGACTGCGACTGAGAGGGAGCTAATTGAGAGGCCCTAATAAAACTACCACCCATGGTAATAATAAAACCGGGCAAACAATAACGTGGTAAACCTATTTCTGGTTATTTCCCACCAAAACAAAAAAGTTGCAACTCCCATTGTAATTGAATGGCAATATAAAGCGCTCATGATCAAAAATTCAAAACACATTTCACGAATGCATTAAAAATAGACTCTTTTTTCGCACAGAATATTTCGGGCGAAAAACCAAAAACAAAACACAACACAACTTTATATTCTTGTTGTTTTGTGCTTGAGTTTGTGTTTCAATGGTAACCATGTGTTTATATTTATGTGTATTCTAGACTACAAACAGTGTTTATACGCCTACGGACTAAAGCCGGTTATAAATGTACTGGATGCTAATTCCGAGCAATAATACCTTAATCTAATCTCATTTTACTTATTATAGAGAATTGTAGTAATGTTAGAGAGAGAGAGAGAGAGAGAGAGAGAGAGAGAGAGAGAGAGAGAGAGAGAGAGA